AGGACAAGTCTCTAGTCCTCTAAAGTCAGTTGTGATAGGTCTCAGTTTATGCTGACTGGTTCTTTCTGTGGCATCTTGGCCAAGCACCACTTGGAGAGAACAGAACCTGTGTGCCACTTAGATTCCTCTTCTGTGCTGATTTCTTAGAACCAGAGGGTGTGGTGTTGAGGCAAAGCTCTTGTATGGTCTTGTTATATTATGGGTTATTTCAAAATGGTCACTTCCCCCTCTTTCTGTCAGACCTACAAGAGGCTCTTTGTTTCTTCACTGTGAGAACTTGTTAGAATTCCTGGAAGTAAACACCACAAGATGTGTGCCCCTCCTTGAACTGGGGAGCCCAGGAGTTTCCCACTCTCACACTCATCCTTATGCTCCCACAGACTATCAAAATGGCCACGTGAATGTTCCTGTAAGTTTATGGCTCCAGATGCTTCTTCTCAGGGTAGATCTCAACTGTGACTATCTACTGACTTTGCACATGACCTTGGTTCTTGAATGGGTCCAAGAGGAGTCATTCATTTTCAGTTTTCCTGACACAAGAATGGCAAAGATGATGTGTATGGACCTGATAAACATCATTTTCAAAATATTTGAAAAGACCAGCAAAGAGAAAAAAATATTTCATCAAATAGATATTTTATCAAGTAGAGTAGGTTATAGGTTTTTATTAGCATATATTTGTTGTACAAATGGGTTTCATTGTGATACATACCATATTTATTCACCACCTCTACCCCTACCCCACATACCCAACTTGTCCCCTTTTTAAAACAATTTCAACAGGTCTTCTAGTTCTATTTTCATACATGGTATAAAGTACTTCAACCATACCCACTCCCTCTTTACATCCTTTCACCCTCCCTATTCCCACTGATACCCACCCTCAAATTGATTTACATTCCTGTTAATTCATTTTAAAAGACTAGATTCTGCACATGAGAGAACAGAGGATATGTCTCAGTTGAACTTATTTTGCTTAACATGGTGACCGCTAGTTCATCCATTTTCCTGCAAATTTCATACTGTATGGCCGAGTAATACTCCATTGTGTATACACACATTTTCTCTATCAATTTTTGGGCACTTAGGCTGATTTCAGAGCTTGGTCACTGTAAATAATGCATGGGTGTGCAGATATGTATTATAGGCTGACTTACATTCCTTAAGCTACATGCCCCAGGAGTGGTATAACAGGGTTATATGGTAGTTCTATTTTTAGTCTTCTGATGAATCTCCATACTGATTTCCGTGGTAGCTTCACTAACTTACATTCCCACTAACAGTGTACGAGGGTTCTTTTGCCCCCATATCTATACCAGCATCTGTTGTTTTCTTGAGGGTTACCATTCTGCTGACTGGGGTGAGATGGAAACTCAGTGTAGTTTTGATTTACATTTCATGGCTAAGGTAGTTGAACATCTCCTTAGTATTTATCGGACATTAGTGCTTCTTTAGAAAGCTGTTTCAGTTAATACTGAGTAATTTTGCTTTAGGGCTGTCATGAATGCTGGCTTCTTGTCATTTCAGATAAGCCATTCCTAAGAATACTGATCAAAACCAATGTCTAACAATTTTATGAACCAGCTCATTGGATTCCATCAGGTGTTTAACTGATAGTAAGTCACTGTTGTGAAGTAGAAACTTACCTCTCAGATAAAGTTCAACCCTTTAGGTTGAAGTTAACCCTTTATGTCCTCAGTAATTCATCAAGATAGAGTTACATCAAAATAGCATTGGATTAAAGAGAAGCATCAGTGTATAAATGAGTTTGTAGAGGAACTCCAAGATAAAAACACCATTGTTTCTCATAGGATCTGCACTTCTTTCAGAGGCATTCAAGGCCAGAGAAGAATTCGTGGGAATGAAATATGAAATTAATCAAACCTTTTTTTTGTTCAGGACTCAGGACCTCATGCTTTCTAGGCAAGTACTCAATCACTTCAGCTGTGCCCCCCAGTTCTTTTGCTTTTATTTTTCATATAGGCTAGTAAAAAAGTTAGTGTGAGACCCTAAGAACACACTCCTCTTCCCTCTGCATCCTGGGTAGCTGGGATCATAGTCATGCATAATCCCACCTGGTGTTTTTGAGTTAGCGTCATGCTAATTTTTGCTCAGGCTTGTCTTGAAGTCTGATTCTCTTATCTCCTCCTCCCAAGTACCTGGAGTTACAGGTGTGTGCACCCACCACACAATTTAAAAATTCTTAGATATTAAAAACTGAAGTTAAAGAGTAGAACATAAGTATAATATTTACCAGTATTGTCTAAGTATAAAATATATACATTCCATGATATGCTCAATTGAGTCCACTTCATCCCTTACATTCAGGTCAGTAGACATGAATTCTACACTCAAATTCTAGTTTTGCACTATAAGTGTCTCTTGGACACAGCAAATTTAGAGTCCTTTTAATTCTTTCAACTTCTCAGCTCTTGCTACAGATGGGACTTGCTTGAATTGCAGGATGTCCTGTGTGCCTATACCCTTCCCCTACCAAAGGGCCAGTGATAGCAGATATTTCCATCTCTTTATATGATAACCTCATTAGCCAACACCAGGGCCAATGAGAAGCTGATGCACATTCAGCAAACCTGCTTTATTTGTGGACATATGTTACATGTGGCTTTGACTAAGCATGGTTAAAAATGCAAAAAAAATTCAAAAACAATTTTTAATTCCCATGTACACATTCTGCAGCTCAGTAGATATGAAAAAACTGTCAGTCCTGTGTTATCAGTTGTGTTTAAATAGTTGTGATCTGTTTTTCTGCCCTTAATTTTGTGAAAACACACCTCCATAGAAGTAAATATACCCCCAAAGTAAGGTTAAAATGTGCTTAATGTAAGTGATAAAATGAAAATTTTAGACTAGTTGAGATGTGGAAGTTGGGTAGTGTTAGGGGGAAAATGAATCAAGCATTCACTGCATAGCACTGAACTCTATGCATCCTGAACATTTTTTTCCTTGATGGTGGTCTCCTAGGAACCACATACCTGTGGATACCAGAGGTCTACTATAACACTCTTCATGTAAGTCATGAAGAAGTCATAGATGCTAATATGCACTCAACTCATGGACTTTTACCCCAAGCTATGAGGTGATAGATTAAATATTCCATGAAATAAGCAGATGTCCTATCTGACTTGTCTGGAGGAACCCATGTCCTTTGATTACGGACACATCCAGCACTGTCTACAGTAATTTACTACAGAAGTCATCTAATGGTCCCAAATGTCAAAAAGTGCTTCTCATGGAAAACTAGCCTCCCCTGAAGACAGCTGATCTCCAAGATCAAGGCACTGTATCCCTGAGACCTACACATGAACCCAAGGGTGCTCAAATCCTAAGTAAGGATTTGTGTTAGTGTCCCTCTCCACAGCTCCTTTCCCTATCAATCTCTGATCTGCCTCTTCCATCATCTGAGGACACCACTTCCAGTTTCTCTACAAGATTCCATCATGTTTGGTTCTTATATGTCACAGTCAATCTCAAAGCCACCTTTAGTATGAGAACTAGGGGATTATTCCTCCTTGATGGCCTCTAGGACCTATGTTATAGTGACACACTGGGTTCTTCTGATTGGGAAAGATGGTCATATACATATACTTATGGTGCCCCCCCACAACAGGTCAAAACCCACAAGGAAAAGGAATAACATTAACACTATACTATGTGGAGGCAAAATAACCATCTAGGATGCTGTTATGGTTTGGATATGCTGACTCCCCAAATGCACTTGTGTTGAAGGCTTTGGTCCCAGATGGTGGATTCAACCATTGAGAGATATTTGGGTCCTGAGGGCTGTGCTATAATCAATAGATCAACACATTAAGAATGTGATAGGATTATTGAAAGGGGTATTGGTGTAACTAGGTCACTGGGGGCATGTCCTAAAAAAGATACATCTTGTACATCATGAGTGAGCAACTCTGCTCTACCATGTGCCTTCATTATGGTGGTCTTCATCCCAGGGCCCAGAAACAATGGAACTAGCTGACCATGCACAGAAACCATGAGCTAAAATATGTCCTTCCTCCTTTTAAATTGTGTCTCAGGTATTTACCACAGCAATAAAGTCTGATTAACATAGATGTAAACCCCAATCTCTTAGGTATTTTACTATCTACCTTGGAGAGTAGATAATCTCTCTGGATCCAACAACACTCACCCACTGGAGATTTTCCTAGATATGAACACTGAAAGCACTTTTTTCATCAGAAGTGATGGTGATGAATACCATATAATCACATTCCCCAAAGTTTCTGCACCTGAACCTTCAGGTCCATTTTTTAATTCTTAAAATGTAAGCGGTGATAGATTTCTCAAGGTTCTGAGGGAGTCTAGGTACCAAAATTTCTCACTGAGGAACTTGAGTTTATATTCCTATGAATTTGGAGTTGATCGTATAGAGCCATCTTCTGTGTTACTTTTGTACTTTGTACCAATAATTAATAATTCTATCTGGTCAAAAAGACATGAATAATTCATTATACAGGCAGTTGAGAACCAAAAAAATGTTTAATTGTGGCAGTGAGTTACTTATATATACTTGAAAAAAGATAGTAATTTATTTTTAAAAATATACTAGATTGGCCTATACTAAAGGAGAAGTTTGGATATGATTTTATCAGACCATAAACAGATCAGATAAAAATCTAGAAAATCTACAAATGGAAACTTTGGGTGGATATTAGGTCTAGTGACACCAATACAATCATAGAACATTTAGCATCACTTTCCCATCAGAAGCATCAGGAGTGGTGTTCCTTCCATTTCAAACTCAAAGACATCTGACAAGCAAAGTCATTCTTCACTTAATGGATTTGTTCTTCCAGATATTGCAAAGTAGGATGGGAATTCTAAAGGCAAGAGATAGGCCACTGTGAAGGAGAAGCTCTGAAATCGCCACCAACATGATACACAATTTTTCAATAGACCATGCCAGGAGAAGAAATAGACACTGACCAAGGAGAAGCTGTTGTGAGAAGATGACTTCCCTGTCAGATGAGCAAACCCCTCATCATGTGCTCCTCCCTAAGCCAAGGGTAAGGAGAGATATTTAGGTGGGAGACTTTTTCCTCCATGGCTTGCAGCACCATCAGAATTTCCTCATCAAATACAGATACGTCCAGCCTGGGAAAAGAAATAAGATTTTCTTTGTACATGTTCAGTTGCCTACCATCATTCTTCCCTAAATGTGACTTGGAGAACTCTGAAGGGAAAACACCAATCTCTCCTATGGAATAGGAACCTTCTCCTTTACATGGTACTGTGGAAGTTCATATAAAGCTTGTGTCAAAAGGTTAATTTTTTTTGATGCAACTTGGGTTTGAATTCAGGGCTTTGCACTTACAAAGCAGGTATTCTATCATGTGAGCCTCACCCCCAGAACTTTTTGCTTTAGCTATTTTTCCAAATAGGGTCCCCTGATGCTCAGGCTAACCTGGACCATGATCCTATTTAGGCTTCCCGTGTAGCTGAGCTGACAGCTGGGCACAGCCACCATACCCAGATTTTAGTGGTTGAGATGGGGCAAACATTTGCCTTGGCTAGCCTTGGGCTGAAATCCTCCTGCGCCCACCTCCTGAGTAAGCTAGGATTACATGCTTGAGCCACAGTGCCTGCCATGTGCTTTCTTTTCTTGTGTACATATCATGCGTCTTTATACCCTAAATTTCATAAGAAGCTATAGAGTGTTTGCAGATTCCAAACAGTCAGGGTCACACACACACACAAGAGGAGGGGATGTTTTATGCTCTTGGGTTTTCAGAAGTAGGGAATGTGATTCAATGTCCTTTCAGTTGCAGACACATTGTGACCACAGGCTGTCTAGTAAGAACTTGTGTGAATTTCAGCTTCTGTGGTCTTCAGATATTCCATTCAACCTCACTCAGAACTATCCTCGAAGCTACCTTGGGAGTATTTCTACTAAAGTGTCTTTGTCAAGATCCAGAGTGTGGAGCCCTCATGTCTACCTTCATGGTCTAGCTAGACAACCCCTAGGCCTGAGCCCTCAGGCATGTGTCTCCATCTATAAGGTAAGGAGACATGAGTACCCCTCATGGTTCACTGAGGATGGAGGAGGATAGTACACATAGAGAACTTAGAGATCTGCCATGCTTTCTGATCTGGTTACCCATTTCAGTTTCTTCTTCAATCTACCCTGTCTGCCGTACCACTTGCTCACACCTTACCTCTGTCTTCCCCAACCAGCACTTCTTAGCATCTCCCTCTTTATCTGTAACACATTACTCCTCACATCCCCAGTGAAGGATCCAGAGCTGAAGCACAGATACATGAACCACTTTTCTCACAGCCCCATCCTCAGCACAGCATCCTACCAGGCATTCAAGTAATATCACATATTGTAATAACACATATTGAATGGGTTCTCTAAATGCACAAACTGTTCAGAACTGCATTCACTGCTTTTCTGCAGGGAGTGTATCTCTGACTCTGCCCAGACCTTTCCGAACCCCTTTCTGATTCTGGGCTGGACTGCTGGATTAGCAGAGGACATCTGCTAATGCTCATACATGTTTTTGGTGATCCCAGGTGTAAGGTGGTGCTGTGGGCATCTGATGGGTGGGGAGAGGACAAGGAGGACCCTCAGCACCTACAGTGCAAGGCAGCTCCCACAGCAGAAAGTGCTCCATCCAGTGTTCATTGAGCCAGGGCAGAGCAAAGTGACAGATGACGAACTTCACTCTGGAGTCACTCACCCAAGTGTCTCCAGGACACAGTCCTGGTGGCTCAAAGCCTCACACAGCACCACCACTCCATCATGGTCCAAGGTAATATAGTCAAGGTTCAGGCTCTTCAGTGTTTTACAGGCAGTGAGAGCTGAGGCAAGGTCATCACAACATGCTGTGGTCAGCTGACACACATCCAGCCTATAATAGGGAACACACCAAAGACACAGACACAGACCATTGTTCCACGCCTGTTCCCTGCCTCTGAACAGCAGACATTAAGGTCTGGACCCCTGTTTCTTAGCCAGGGTGACTGTGCCCCTTGGGGGACATATGCCAAGAACCAGGGACATTTGTTCCAGCTGAGGATGGTAGAGGCAATTTGTGGATAGTAGCCAGGGGTGCAGAACATTTTCATGATCGTGTACTGTACAAAGACTAACAATGCCTGTGTGTTCACAGTACCACATTTGTGCAAATCCTGTATTTATGGGACAGTACTTATGAAACTATGCCAAGCAAACTTTTAAAACCTATTGATCCTCCAGCTTTCCCTCCTCTTCAAATAGGGAGCCCTTCCCACCATGATCATCAGTAAATACTCACCCCAGCCTCTGTAATTTACACTTAGGGTGCCTCAAAGCTTCACATAAGTGTTTGACACCAGCATCCTGTATGTTATTGTTCCCAAGTTTCAGGGTATGTAGTTTTTCATTGCAAATGAGAGTGGCAGAGATGTCTTTACAGCAATCAGAAGTGAGGTAACAACCTGGCAACCTGGGGAGAAATGACAAATATACACATGCATGAGGTCTAATTTAAGCCACTTAGGTTATTTGCAGTTGTTCACATGAAGGAACACCCAAGAACTTCTGAGCTGCTGCTAAGAGGATGCTCTGACTTCTGTTCCTCAACCTGCCTGCTCTGCTCTTCACCTTGGATTCTTGCAGTTTTTCTGCTGTCTGGTTGCCCCTTCTGGGGCCTCCACTTCTGTTCTTCCAGTTAACATGCTTAAGCACTGAATATCCATGGGGATACCCTATCACTATCTTCAAAACATGTGCAAATATTACCATTTGCTGAGACCTCCTGTGCCTAATGTGAGAACTTGTCCCTCGTCCCTGTCCATCCCCAAGATAATCATTCCCCATAATATTCACCACCTCCTGCCATATGGATAGAGAGATGGAAGGTAGTAGACAGAGGATAGGACTAGGATGTAGAGATTTTACATAATTAGGCAGATAGGCACATGTAGTTGTATGGAAGATAGCTGTTACAGAAATGGCTGTCAGATCAATTATGGTTGATAGATATGTATATATATTTATAGGTATGTGTTTATGGCACTCAAGAAATCATCTCCCCCACCAGGGAACATTTGGCCATTTTCAGAGATATTTTGTTTTGTCACACTCAGAGACAGGTCGCCACTAACATCTAGTAGTGATGTTGCTAACACACCTACAAAGCAAAGAATAGCCAGAATAGCCCCCCATGACAAAATGTGATTGGGCCAAAGTGACAACAGTGCCAAGGTTGAGAAACCATGATATTTGCACCTTACACAAGCACGTGTATACCTGTGTCTCCACGAAATGGAAATCCAGGGGAACAGGACTGCTGGGATTATTATCTGTCAACTAAATAATCCACCCACCAGTCTCCAATTCTTGGTAGAAGGAGCAAGTAATGTCTGCTATTGTTATCACTTACTGAGTGCACATGATAGGTCAGTCTCTAACACTCCTTCCTGTGCATGATTTCTGTTAGCCTTCTCAATTCTTTCAGGTGTGGATGATAGCTATCCTCATGTACGCCTGGAGAGATGTGTCACCTGTGCAAGTTCCCACAACTGATCAAGGACACCCTGGACCAAATTAAGGCCTTCTAATGTCTGCATATCAACTTCAGAGCAGCATGTACAACCCCTCTGTCCTAACACTTCTTAAAAGTCAGGGAGCCACTGAGCATCCCAGAAGAGTGAGGTGAGAGGAAACATAACCTCATTTTCTTCAGCATACACCATTCTCTCTCTTAGTCTATTTGGTGGCTGTAACAAAATGCCATAGACTGGGTGGCTTATAAGCAACAGAAATGTGTATCTCATAGTTCTGGGAGGCTGGGAGCCCAAGCTCAAGGTGCCAGCAGACTGAGACCCAGTTCCTGCTTCACAGATGGCACCTTCTTACTGTGTCCTTAGATGGTGGGAGGGATGAGGCTGGTGGGGGCTCCACTCTTATGATCCAGTCACCTCCCAAAGGCCCCAATGTGGTTTTGGGGGGAGAATACAGACATTCAGACCATTACACCTCCTTCTTCTGAATGCCAGTGCCCAAAATGGAAGCCCCAGCAGTGGAGAGAACCATGCTATTCTTACCACAACTCCTGCAGGATGCAACCTGGCTGCTTCAAAGCTTCACACAGAGCAGCTACTCCACTATCTTCCAGGAAATTTGATCCCAGATCAAGGAGAGACAGGGATTTGTTACACAAAAGGGCTTGGGAGAAGTATTCACAGGCGACAGAAGAGAGACAGCAGTATGACAACCTGCAAACAAACACACATAATCAGCTCATGTCAGCTTCTGTGGTGACCTTCTCATGGAGCCTCATGCAAAAATCTTTCAACTTGTTTTTTGCCCTCAGCCAGCACTAGAAAAAACGGAGGTTAAAAGCTTGTAGTGGAAATACCAGGACAGTGGAAATCAGCGTGTGGAAATGAAACAGCCTCTGATTTCTGTTCCCAATCAGATCACCACTGACTGGATGACCTTGGACAAACCACCCATTCACAGCAGAGAGTACTCCTAGTTTAATGGCTTGTACTGGACGGACAGTTTTGCTTATTGTTTACTTTTAGTAAACCCTGAAAGATGTAGATTTTTAGATTCACTTGGCAAAAAAGGCAACACTATGAGATGATGGATATGTTAATTTGCTTGAATATGGCAAGCAGTTTAGCATGTATATGTCTATAAAGTGTTCTAAATGTTAATCATAATGTATTATATGCTTGAAATTTGCTGGTACAGTGATTTAAGTGTTGACATTAAAATGGAAATGATGTGAGGTGGTATTAATTAGTCTGACTATGGTGGTCACTTCTTATTATACCCGTATACCAAATAATGTGTATGCCTTAAATATATGTTACAATAGTCAATTATGCCCCCAAACTAGAACATAAAATTGAGGGGAGTTTCAAGAGAAGAAATTATTTTATAGTGATTTTGTGGTGAAGAGTTTTCATTTTCAGTGTGGAAAATCCTAAAAGTAACAGAAAAACTGAAAGTCATGATCTGGTAGCTAATGGATGACTATGACCCCTGATATATTCTGTCCAGTGGACACCAAGTTTAACTTTTCAAACAGATGGCCAAATGCAAAACCCAGGGGCCAGGGAATCCCAGCTTCTCCTTGGCCGGGACAGTGTTCAGCTCACCCCTGCCCTCTCCCAGCCCCTCCAGGGCATCTGAGAGTCTGACAGGAAGGAAGCACAAGTCCTTGATGAGCAAACAATACTTCCTTTTGGGAAGTTTTCCCTGTCGGTATTCTCACTTTTGAGAACAGACCAAAGGAACCTAGTTCACACATTTTTTTTTCAATCAAAGAAGACAGGTCTACAACATAATGGTTTAATATATGTACAGCATGGTCTCCAGTGTCTGCACTAGCCCACAACCCTCTCTCAAGAGCTCTACTTCCATTCTTCATACTTTCATACATTTTAAATTCCATGAATTTCACCTGAAATTTTTGAAGTACTGAGATTTGCTTTTTTGTAAGATCACTATAGAACTTTTCTATATACATTTGCTTGATTTATCTGACAACTTTGCAAAGTACTCAATAAACTTGTACTTCTCCCCATATTGTGAATTTGATCATGTTGTAGAATCCTGTTCCAGTGGGGTATCTGCTACTGAAGATAATATTTTGGTGATTTTTTCTTTTTAAATTACTAGTGACATTCTTTCAACTTTAAGCCAGTTATTTTTATGGAGTAAAGATTCTAGTCTTTAAAAAATGCTAAATGACATTTTAAAGAGCTCCTTTGATCAAGGTAGCCTATAATTACTAGCCTTTGAGGGTATGTTAATTAGATTTACTATATAACATCAGATGGTTATTTAATAGCCAAATACTTTTGCCTTTCAAAATTTCATTTCTATGCTGATATTTGACTTAATAGTTTAGAGTTCATTTAGAAGTTTAGTTTCAATATTTACTGTCCATGGAGCTTATTTTACTTCAGGTTTAGCACTCTTAATTGACAAATCACAAATCCCAAAGCTTCAAAATACAAAAATTTTTGATGCCACAATTGGAAATTCCACCACTGACCTCATGAATCAGGTACCAGTCAAAATGCAAGTGGGCTGAAAATATTGCAAATCTACCTCTGAATCATATGTACAAGGTACATATGACACACAATGAATTTCATGTTTGGGATTTGGGTTCTATCACCAAAATATTTCATTGTAATATGCAAATACTCTGAAATCCAAAAGATAACAAGATAGAAAACACTTCTGGTAACTAGCATTTTGAATAAGGGATACTTATCCTGTTTTGGTTTTCTTTAATGAACAGTTATCTCAGTGATGGTCAGTATCCAGCCCTTTGTATTTACACGTGTGTCCGAGATGTGTGCATATTTGCACATGCAGCTAACCCAGGACAGTGATAATATTGTGCCTACATCATCTTTCTCTTCCATGGACTTGGATGTTTTTGAGCACATAACCTGTTTTAAACATTTCTGCATTTGTTTGACTCAACACCAGATTTCTAGTGTGGGCTTCCTGCGAAAATAGAGAATGTGTCCTTCTGCCACTGTGACGAAACATTCTCAACAGAGGGGCCATCAGGGGAGACCTTGGAGAAAGACCAATGGTCTAGAACGTATCAAGACCTGCACTGAAAAGGAATCAAATGAATTTCTTTTTCTTATGCACCCTCTCCCCTGACCCAGCACCCTAGATATGTTGAAGTACATCATCCATCTTCATGATAACCAAGACCATAGACTCCACATTAGATGAGAGGGTGTTTTGCCTCTCTTGAACTCAGTTTCACAGGAACTCTGTTTGCATTTGCTCCACTCACTGACAAGATAACTAAGGCATGCAGAAGTGACTCAGGTCTAAATTCACCTTCCATCTCCTCCCTCCCCTGGAAAGCATTCAATGGCCTTTATGATGGTTGGACTCACATACAGGCTTCTGGGATCTCCCCAAAGGCACTCCCCAAGACCTACTCACATCAGGGTCTCCAAGGCACAGTTTGGGTGTTTCAGGGCTTCACATAGCATCTTTGCTCCTTCATTCCTCACGGTATTTTCTACTAAGGAGAGGCGTTTCACCTTCTTGTGGATGATGAGAGAGGCGATGTCTGCACAATCTTCACCTGTGATGTCACACTTCCCCAACCTAATGTGAGACATGCTTCATGGGTTGGAAGGGCTGTAGGTGGTTTATGCAAGATTGGTCATTGGGGAATTATAATTACAAGATTATTCTAATCTTGCATATGCCATTCTACTGTCTACACTGTTGACTGATTGAAAGTACACACATGGTTATGTGACTCTCCATCTCCAGTGAAGTTAGTCTAAGTCTCAGATTGGGGTGATTTTTACCCTTTAGGATACATTTGGAAATGTTTGGGGTTGTCCAACTTGGGATGGAGTCTCATGGGTGGAGGCCAGGGATGCTACTCAACATTCTACAATGCACAGAACATATCCCACCACAAAAGATTATCAGGAACCCAATATATATATCTGTTAATCTTATTTGTCAATAGCACTATAAAAGTAAAAAACCAAAATATCATTCCTAATGTCACACTCAATACAATAGCCATTGTACTCAATTTAGGAAGCTTCACTCATCTGTCAGCTTTGCTGGTTATGTGTGAACATATCAACCAGGCACCCTTAATTCACCTCGATCTTGGCACTGTCTGTGATTCCAGCCTCGGTCCCTCAGAATGCTCCCCCTACAGGTGTCAGTCACATCCAAGCTGTTTGACTTGTGCTTCTGATTAACAGAAAGTGTTCATTTCTTATTGTTAATAAGCAATATTTAAAGATAGAATGAAAGTGTTCATAGAAAGCTGCTACTGAAATATTCATGTACACATGTAGGAAGCTCAGTGAATCCAAATCAACAAAGGCACAATGAAATCTTCAAAGCAGTCAAGACAAGACACATTGGGCACACTTCTTTTGGAGACTAAACACTGATGCCTAAATTAAGAAAAAATAATGGATTCCAGAATAAGAATTATCTCTTTACAGTGTAAAAGAAAAAGGAACGCTGAAATTCTATGTTTCTCATGTGTGAAAACATCTTTTAACATAAAACAAAATTATATTTTTATACCCCCATATACAGAGGGTATCTTTTTACAAAGTTAACTATTACCATTTGCTGAGAAAAAGTGGGTTTTCAACAGTGTTCTTTGTTCACATGGGGAAAATATTCGACTTTACTTAACATAAAACTACCCCTACTGGAGCTATTTAATTTTGAGGTTATTAGAGAAAATGGGACAGAAAGAAGGTGAAAAGGGGTAATTACCATTTTGTCACCACTGCATTTCTCTTGAATTATAGAAGATGGAAAAATCAGATCTGTCCCCAAATTATAACAAGGAGTTTGATGGGCAATATCAAATACTGAAGGACACAGGAAATATAAAGAACATCTTATATAAAGAAACTGAAGGCAGAAAAAATGCATTGATCTACTGTATTAAAATTTAAAAAAATGATTATGCCTATATTGACAAAGAGTTTCATAAAGTGTATTTTCAAAATACCTTTGTACTTTCCTGGTCTGATAACATTAGGTAATAAGATCTTACTTATGGTGGAAGCAGGGTGATTGGTAATGGGAATTTTCTGTCCAATTTCTGTGACTTTGGGTCCTTAATAGTACTAACATATGGAGTAATCAACAATGTCAAAATAGAATGACTTATGAAGAAAAAAAAGTGTTGGCAAGAAAGTCCCAAAGACACCCATGAAATGAGGTAGGGTATTCATAAATAAGTTTTTCCAGGGCCTCTTCATGCTGTCAAGTCATTATGTACAGTACAAGGGCTCCTAAGTCAACTTAGGAGAATACAGCCCATTCTATATTAGCTAAGCTGACCTCCCTCCCACCTGTCGGAGAGAAGGGTCACTAATTCTCCCCTAATACACTTTATGTGGTAGAACAGTTTTGTCAATCTTAGTACTATTGACATTGAAGCTACATAATTGTTTGTCATGGTGCTGTCCTGTACATTGTGAGAGATTTAGCGGCATCCCTGGACAAATAACCACTAGAGACCACTAATACCATCACCATGAAATTGTGGCAGTCAATAATATCTCTAAACATTGATGTCTACAAGGGAGAGTGACTCATATTGACAATCCCTGAGCCACACTTGATTGTGAGGATCTCCCACCTCAAGAGCAAACTGAATTCGGTCAAGAGCATGCCCCAAAGAGGCATCGTTTTCAACCACAAAATATCCACGATTAACTTCTGCTTTCCTTAGATCTGTTACCCAATTATTATTAATCCTCATTAACACGCAAGACATAAGGCCCCAAGGAAATGCCATAACTATGAAATAGGAGGCCAAATACTAAGTTTTGTAAGTTTTTCCTGAGAAGCAAAAAGAAAATAACTTTACAGGGAAATAGCTCAGATGGTGAAGGAGATTAATAGAAATATACATGCTCAAATAACCTTGTGCATGTAGCCTATTTTTCCTGTGAGGCATGATGTGTATGATTAACAGGGTGTACGTGAATCCCCAATCATATTTGTGATTATTGCAAGGAAGAGCATAAGCTAGAGAGAGAAGAGCATACTCCCTCAGTGTTTTTAATGAATTGTTTTTGCTTATTTCTGTCTCAATGATTTTCCTATGTTATTTCTGGTGAAAAAATGGATTGGCCCTGCCTTAGAAGTCATCAGTTAGGATGGGGGAAGCCCAGGACATTTTCAAAAGGAAGAAAATGCTTTTGTTAGTCACTTTCCCTCTGACTCAGTGTAGTCACCTGCCAGGTTAGATCATCACCCTTGTGATCACAAATGAGCTTTTTAGTTTCAAATTCCTATGAACATCCTTAGCAGGAAATAGAGTTCTAGCTCAGGAATATTGGGTGAGAGGAGAGCCAAGAAGTATTGGGTGAGTGGAGAGCAGTGATCAAAGTGAGTCCAGGGATAGGGACGGTGGGACCGACTTTCTGAGAGGAAGCCTTGCCCTTTGGGACCCACCTCCACCTTACTAGTGGCTTGAAGAAAGTGAGAATGAAAAATGAAAACACAAAAGACAAAGGCCAAATGCAATGGTTTCCAGGAAAGAAAATGGGCAAAGTCGTAGGTCAGAGTCCACATTGGGAAAAAAACATTTGGGATGCCCAGGCCACTGACTTACACTAGATCTTCCACATTGCACGCTGGGTGCCGCAGAGTCTCACATAGGCGTTTGATCCCAGAATGGGGGATATCAGTGCCATACAGATTCAGGTGTTTCAGTTGAGGATTATGAAGAATTGCCTTACAGAAGTCTAAACCATTTCCTAAGCTAGACATATAGTTACACCTACAAAAGATGAGGAAAGAGAGAGTCATGCCAGGATGGGCAAACACAAAGCTGACACCTCTTATGCAAGTCCTCCTCTCTTCAATTGTGAGCTTCCCACAGTTTGGTACTCAGGTTACCCCTACCCATAAAGTTATCTCACTGGGATCTTCAGATACAAACACCAAGGCTCAAGCTTCTTAGATCTCTTCTGCTTCTTCCTAGACCCTTCACTTCTAACACCAAGAGCATTATAAGGAAATTGAGTGAGACTTCCCATATTAAACAATAATCCTTATAAGGACAGGAAAAAGCTATGCTTGCATCTCTTTACATTCCAAAATGTAGCACAGTGCCCAAATACAGCAGAAATACTCATATCTGTATTAATGTTCTAGACTGTGGGTCCCAAGCAAAGGACTCATTTCTGTTTAAGAATAAAGAGTTTTTACTAAGAAGACAATATTTGTAGTGGTCACCGACTTTGGCTCCAGAGTCAAAGAAAACTGGACTCAAAATTTGGCTTTTCTTATTTCTTTGTCAAATTTGGAGAATTATGTAACTTCTTCCTGATCTAGTCTCATGAAGCAAAAAGATAGTGTGATAATGTTTCAGAAATTAACATTTATTGTAGTTTCTAGAGTATGTGAAATCACGTTGGCCCTTTATCATAAACATGGATGAGTCAGATGTGCTTTTAACCAGATATATATTTACAACTCATGTCCATGTGTTGATCAATCCTATACACACACACACGATAAAATTCATACAAAATTCATAGTATGATATCTGCTATTACTACATTTATTACTTTGGATTCCAGCTCTATATGTCTTCATCTCCTCTATGTGTTTATAAACTCTTCTATGAAACTGAAAGAAGAGAAGAGGGCACTGCTTTTAGGTAAAAGGTTCATGCAAAACTTACGCCAATGTTTGGAGTTTACAAACGGGCTGAGCCAGTGCTTTAAAAAGAATTGCCAGAGAGTCACTGTCCAGCGCAGAGTTATCCAAATCCAACATCTGGATGTTCGTGCTTTTGCTGAACACCGTGCACAATTCTTCCCAATAGGAGAGTACCTCAGAGTGCCTATGGGACAACAAACACCATGATTCTCCAGTGGATATATATTCAAGACCATCTCAAAGCAGACAATAAACCACTCCCAAAGCGCCACAAAACTAATAGATGTCCAGGCTTCAACAGGAAGAACCTTCAGCTAGGTGAAGTGAGTGAACATGGCATAGTGCTTAAGAAAGTGAACCCCGAGGTGAGAGTAACTGGGACCAAATCCCAATGAAACCACTTATTACCTGTGTGATCCTAGATGAGATACTCAATGTTATTCTGGCTCTACTTTTTTCTCTTAGTGAGAGTACTTGTTTCTATGTGATACAGGGTTTATGTTTGGTGACCCCCTCAGTGAACAGCAAACTGCATCAGACATCATGAAAGGTGCTATGCACTTGAGAGCTCAAGTGTGCACTGGTAGCCTGCACCCAATAGAGGATACAAGGTAAGGTCAGAAGAGAAAAGAGGCACATGGGCATAAGCCAGAGGAAACCAGGAATGAGTTCCCTTCACCAGGACATACTAAACACACCATAGAGAAGGGAAGAGTGCCATCATGATTACAGTGAAAACTGCTCATATTTCTTCCCTGCATTGGCCTTCTGAAGTGGATGAAATACCTATTCCTCTTTGTATAGATGGGGAAACTCAAGAAGCTGCTCATGGTCACAGCTCATAAATGGCAGTGCCAAGAGTCAATGGGAGGCCTTTCTGACCACAACATCCATGTACAACAGTACAAGAAACACTCATTGGACATGTTAGAAAACTACAGGTATGATGGGTGTAGAAAAGGGGATGATTAGCAGATGGACTCACTCTGAGATGAGTTCATGATTATCTAGAAAGAGTAGATCCACACACAGGTGAAGTTTCTTTAACTTCCGGCAATGCTTTAGGCAGAATGAAGATATAACTAGTTCTTCCATATTACCAATATAGACAAAAAAGTCTTCAAATAAATCCAGCACTTGTATTATGAATTCTTCCTCCTGGTTTTCAAACAGACCATTGAATAACTCCTGGGAACATACCAGATCCTCAGCAGGTTCACATTTACTGAAACACTGGATTATTTTACTGAGACTTTGGATTATTTCCTGCTTTATCTGTTTTGACACCTGAAAACCAAAGGTCTCCAGCCTGCTGATTATTGTTTCATTTGAAAGTCCAAACACAAATACTCCCATCTGGCATAAGTGGGCTTGGACTTCAGTTATACTTGCTGTTACAAGATGGGTTACACTGCCAATGGCAGGGTTAGGATGGTCTGTGGGTTCTTTGAGGAAGTAGAACATAGCTGCACAAAACTCTTGGATACACACATGGTTGAAGGTAAAACAGTCACCCCTCTGTTGAAAAAGTCTCATGCCCACCCATACCATGACATCAGATTCAGAGACCCCCTTCCTCCTGAGATCCTCAGAGCTAAACACAAATGTCTGAGTCCACATTCCCTCTGAGGCCAGGGCACACAGGCTTTTAAGTAGGTCTCTGTTCTTAGGTGGACAGTTCTCACTTCCTGCTCCGAACACACTTGTTAAAAAGGATATATAGAAAGAGGTGGTTGTTTCAGAAGCTACTTTCATGTCTCTTCCCTTCTCAAGTTGCCATTTCATACAAGTGCAGATCATCCAGCATACTAAAGGATTTTGGCATAAGGAAAACAGGTGTTTAATCCCTTTCACAAACTTGAAGGCTTTCAATCCTTTATCCTTCCCATGGAAGAAGTAGGAGAAATACAACTTTCTTGCATCTTCAGAGAATCCTACAACAGTTATATCAATTGGATCTAGCAGCCAACAATAATTTTTGTGCATACTCACTTTTCCTAATGCAAGAAGGAGAGAAGATTCCGGAAGCATCCTTTTCTGCAATAAGCTTCTCAGGATAATTTGTGGTGACTGTCTATGCCTCCAGTCATCACACAAGTTAATGTTGCCTTTCATATCAAATTTCAATTGCTCAAAGCCATCCAAGATGAACAAAATTCGCTCTGGTTGGGAAAAAATATCACTGATTGTTTCTGAAGACTCAGGCCAGTCCCTGGAGATTAACTCCACTAGGCTTGTCTCCATAATAGATTTCATTTCATAGACATTGAAGAAGAAAACAAATGTAAATCTTTGGTTCAAGAAATTTCCTGATGCCCAGTCTAGCATCACTCTTCTTAAAAGTGTTGTTTTCCCAATCCCTTCAGGACCACTCAAAACCACAGTGACTGGCTCAACGTCCTTAGCAGTACAGGCCTTATGCAATTCTATGTACTCAATCCTTGTGGTCTCTTTGTAGAAATTCTCAGGAACTGGAAGGCAGGTTCCTGTTTGCCATATGAGTTGGAATTTTTCCTTCATGTGATTTCTGTAGAGTTTTGGTGCATCTGAGTTAATGAGAATAGAATATATGACAGTTAGGGATGTGATACTTCTTAGAGTGACTCCTGCACATTAATTGAACCCGTACGCAATGACTGGTTTACATCTCTGGGTGGGCAGGTTGGTTAATTTGGTTTTGTCAGAGCCTTGATCTGAAATATTGTCTGTGGAAGCACCTGAACAAAACTGGAAGTCCACCTCAGAGGAACAGCCACTGCAAAGTGTGAATGCTTGGGAATTCCAGACCAGATGGGAAGAAAGGGTGGTACCTCCCCAACAGAGAATCCATAAGCACTTGCATTTGCAGAGCCTGGCAGGAATTAGGATTTAGAATGTTGTTATTGGGTCCTCAACAAGCCACTGTGATTTGTTCTATTCTCACACTACAAAAAATGTTGTAATAGTTTGTGACTTATTAAATTTGGATTGATGAGTCAATGTTAGGTCAGGTGTCTGAAACGATAAGACCCAAGTTATTTCTAATATTCAGTACTCATTGTGCTTAATTTAAAAAATGCCCACTGAACCATCCTTTCTATCCTGCCTTTACTGCAGTTATTTCACATTCACAGCAACCAATTAGGAGAGGTAAGAAAAGGAAATTACAGGGCTGGTGGAATGGCTCAATCAGCAAGAGCACCTACCCAGCAAGTGTGAGTCTCTGAGTTCAAACCCCAGTTCCACCAAAAAAAAATACAAATACAGACAAGAACCATATACTTCATTGAGGAAATATACATCAGAGTAGGTTTGACAAGTTTGCAGATGAAATAAAGGCTGTACTGCAACAAGAATCCAAAGATGCTATCCAAAGATCCAACAGTGACTATGTTGTTCAAGACATTCAATTGGGATTCCTCATGGAAAATGACATCTTAAAAAACTTAGTATAAATTGTACAAAGGGATTCCATTATGATATTTACAACATACAATGTACTTTGATTAAGTTCACCCCATCTATTAATCTTTCTTAACTACCCTATCTCCTCAAAAAAGAGCACGTTTGTGTGACTTCTAGGGATGTTGGGATTTTGGAATATTCTGATGAGAAGGGGATTTTAGGGAAGATGAGCCTCAATTCCTTAATTCCATAGGAGTCTATTTATAGTTAATACCATGTAAAGCCATATAAAAGGAGCTTGGAATGTGCCAGAACTCAGGAAATGCAATACCATGCCATCCCTAGAGAATGCATGGGGATAAGCTGACTCCAGGGAAAATATGACCAGGGACACTTCAAGGAATGAGGTGTCCAGGTCATATGTTCAGTTGTAGAGCCAAGAGTAACATGTGAGTGGAGCCATGGGCTAAGGAACAGTATGCTGACATTGCATGTTCTAAGAAAGGAAGCAGCAAAAATATGGGGAAGGAGGAGGAGAATGGGGAACACAAAGTTCAGACTATTGTGTAGGTAAGAATTGGGAGTCAAAGGACACCATTTGAAATAGAAAGAACCAACCATAAAAAGGATGAGGTGGCATTAAGAACACCATATATAAGTATATATAGAAAGTAAAGTAAAAATTAAAGTTGTCCAAAACAAAGAATATTAAAGCAAGTAAGATACAAAATAGAGAAAGGTCTTTAAATACAGCACACAAGTTCAACATGAAATAAAAATTTGGAAATTAAGTGGAACAATCACAGAAAATGAATTTAAGTTATTAGAGAAAAATTATTTTCAAGTTTGTGCTAAAGCAAAATGCAATCCTATGCTGAACTGAAAACACATTTTAAATGTGTTGGTTCAAAGAAAGCTAAATAGAGAAGAATGGAGAAGATTTACTGAACAGAAACCAGAAAGCAGGGGTTGTAATCCTGTGCTGTCTGAAATAGATTGAAGCAAGAAGAATTAGACATGGCAAAATGGGGCACTTGGTGGTGTTAGAAGCCATGTGATACAATGAAGATATAAACACTATGAATATCTTTGAGTTAAACAACACAGAAACCACAAGAAAAGCAAGCAGAAACAGAAAGACACATAACAGAATTCATCTCAGTAGATCTGGTCATCAGACATGATCTCCTGGGTCATCTCCTAAGAGACTCAGCATGGGACAGAAAAATGGGGAGATACCCCTCGATGAACAGTGTCTATTAGATACTATCTACCTCCAGTTTGAGAATGACCCATGTATGATGAGCATTAGTGTGCAACTCTCCTACCCCCTCCAAGGTTCACACTGACTCACACCCATCTTCTGCTGTTGGAGGGGGTGATCAATCACTCCACTATGACATCACCTTCATGTGAGAAAGCTCTCCTATGGTCTCTGCCTCTCCACCTTGCACTTACCTCTCATCTCGTCCTGAGCCTTTTGCCAGAGATCTCTACGATTGATTTGGAGAAACAGGCTCAGTGTCACATCCCAGGCCTGCTTCCCTGGGTAATGCTTATCTAACAGCCTTGCTAAGTCTTCTTTTGAAGACTTCTTGATGTCAGTCCAGGGGATTGGCTTCAGTTGAAATTTCTGAGGTTCTTGCCTGAGGAACTCCTTAAATTTCCAGAACTCTTCCTTTCTGAGCTCTTCCAGATACCACACCAATCCAAATTCAGAAAAAAATGATTCAGCCATCTTGTCCTAGGATGGTGAGCTCTGACGTCTCTAAAGGAAAAAAACCCTTCACAATAAAGGATTTATTGACACCTGTAGAGTAATGGGATGTTTACAGAGGCACATCTCAATAGTGTGATTCAAAATTATTATCATGCACCCTTTGTTCAAATATGTCTGGCTAGCTTCATCTGGGAAAGAAGCTTCACCCTTGAACTTTCTACAACAATGCCTGTGAATTAAGTGTTAGCAACTAAAAGTGTAATTTATGTGAAGTCAGATGTCGCGGAGAAAGATAACTAGCTAAAATTATTTTTATTTTAAAGCTGAGATTTATAAGCCAAGAAAGAAAAGTTGGCAATTTCTACCCAAAGTGCCCTCCACTGTTTATCTCTAGGGATAGTTTTCAGAAGAACTGAACATTGACTTTGTGTCATTGTGAGACCTAAATTTCATTAGACCATGCTATACCGAGTATTTGTTAATTCCAAGTCTATGTTGACTAAGCAATGAAGATTTTAAAAAGTGAAACCCTACAAGTGTGTATTTGTATGTGATTGTTTTGATGGCTTTCTGAAAGGCAGTGACCAATAATTTTTTAGAAATTCAAATTTCCAAAATGAAAGCAGGAAAGGATTAATCTAAGGGTTCTCTATCTGTCTTGGATGGGAAGTAGCTCTAGGCAGCTATCCCAGGGAGGGGTCAAGGGGTACATTCCAAGTAGCATGTAAACTGTGTATAGAGAAAAGAATGAAAAGTTATGCAGTTCTACAAGCTTTAGAAGTTCCAACACCCATGTCACTGAAGCTCCTGAAAGAAGAGATAAAGAAGTCAATGAAGAAATCTCTGGCTTGGCACGATGGCACACACCTGTTATCTCAGCCTCTGTTTTTTGTTGTTGTAGTGCTGGGGATTGAACCCAGGTCCTCATGCATGTGATAGGTGTTCCTAGTTCTGTTCTCAGCACTCTGGAGGCTGAGTGCTGGAGGACTGAATTTGAGACTGGTCTGGACTATATTGTGAGACCCTGTCTCAAAAAAACAAAAGATTTCTCTGAACCAAAAGCTCTGTATCTATAGAGTAAAATGTCTTGCCAAGTGTCACAGAGTATGAAAGATAAAAGACTGAAATTCTGAAATATCAATATGACGCAAAGATACAGTCTAAAGTTTACTTGAGTACAATCCAATTGTAATATGTGAGCCTTATCTGTAATTCAAAATCTCTAAGTAGAAACATTAAGAGTCTAAGCAGAGAGAACAATTTTAAGACTAGGTTATTTAACCTAGTGTATGAAAATATTAATTTAACATGTAAGCAAGGTTTTAAAAGATCAAAGCATTTTCATATTTTATGCTAAGTGCTAAAAATCCAAAGCTTGTTTTACAATTACAAAATCTCAGTTCAGATGCTAAATTTTCACTGGAAAGAACTGATGTCTTACAGGAAGGTAAACAGATCCTGTCTTGGGGGTTGGTACCAATGGGAGGGGAGAGGGTATAAGGAAAAGTTGTAGGAGGGTAAATGTTTATAAATATTATGTACTCATGTATGAAAACAGAAAAATGAGACTTGCTGAAACCATTCCAGGAATGGGGGAGAGAGGGGTAAAGGATAATGATGGAGGGGGTAAATTCAACTATGATATACTATAAGAACTACTCAAAAAGTCATAATGTACTCCCAGTTCAACAATATAATAAAAGAATTGATCTCAGTATAAGTATGGAGTTTGGAAAGTAAGTTTTTATATCTATTTCTTACATACATAAGCTTTTCAATAACTGATCACATATTTTAAAATTAAAAATTTGCATTAACTAAAATTAAAAATTCAATTATTCATTTTCTCTGGTTAGTATCTACACGTTCCTGGTGGCTACCAATATTCGTGCAGACCTAGATGCTCAGAAGTTGAAGCTGGCGTAGTCTCCAAAAGAATACATTGACTATCATTCTTTGCCTCCAAGACAGTGAGAATCCATTTATGAAATTCCTTTAGTCAATGGTGAATATAAGTTTCTAACACAAAGAAAAAAAAGCAGGAAAGTTAGAATTATTTATCTAGGCTTGTATACCAACTGGTATCTTTCATTTATGCACAAAAGAAATGAAAATATTATTTAAACATCCCAAATTTCTAACTCAGAGGGCATACTCAAAAAACAAAGAGGTTCATGTGGAATATGAACAAAGGAAAAAAGTTATTAGAGTGGCTTCCACTTAGTTATAAATCATAAATTAAAGGGCACATAGAATGTAACAATCTGGGGCAGTAGTGAGATTTTTTTTCGTGGTACTCGGGTTTGAACTCAGAGCCTTATGCTTGAGCAGGCGCTCTACCACTTGAGCCACTCCACCATCCCTAGTACTGGGAATTTTTGAACTCAGGGCTTCACTGAGCAAAGTGGGTACTCTGCCAATTGGGTCACGCCTCCAGCCATTTTTGCTGTGGTTATTTTGGAGACAGGGTCTTGCTTTTTACCTAAGCCAGCCTGGACTCCAATTTTACACTTCCCACCATAGCTGGGATGACAGGCAAGCCCCACTGTACCCAGCTTTTAAAAACTGAGATAGGGGGTCTCAGTGGCCAGCCTAGAATCTGATCCTCCTTATATCAGACAGCATATACCTTGGGTGTGAGCCACTGGTGCCCAGCTAAAAAGCACATAAAATGTTTATTGAATTAAAAGTGAGTTCAATGTAACCACAACCAGACCAAGAAATCAATTGCTCCATGTACCTCAAGGCAATACCATTCCAACAGATTACCATTTCCCTGATGCTTGTTTTGCTATTAAAAACAACTTAGATTTGAATTCTAAATAATACACTTGATGTAAGTTTTAGTAAAAGGAATGACGAGGTCTTTTCTATGTGGCCTCTTGGTTGGCATTTGTAAGATTAGTTCATGGTGTTGCATGTAGCTATGGCTTATTTGTACTGGTATATGGTATTCTATCAATATTCAATAGTTTATGGATGTTATGGTTGACTGTTATGTAGTTTTCCTTTTCTGTATAACAAATGCATATACTAATTTATATTCTCACAGCATCCTAAGAAAAATTCTTTGCTTTTCAATCCTTCCCCAAATTAATATAGATTAATCTAATTTTGATAATAAAAAATAAAGTGACATTAAAATTGAAGGTGATGTTCTGGAATGTGGAAGTAAGGAGGGAGGCTAGGGAAGCAGCTCAGGGGTAGAGCATTTATCTAGGATGTGCAAGGCCCAGATTAAATCTCCAGCACTGAAAAAAGGAATTAATGGAGTAACGAATATCAAAGCAGCTTCAGTTATTGTCTTTTGGGGGATAGCTTTCTTACTATACACTAGACTTACTAGTATATAAGGAAACACTAGATTTACTATGGTTAATAACTAGAAAAACAAAGTATATAAATTCCTTACCCCTAGAAACCTTCCAAATAATCACTACAATTCAACAAAAGGAAGTAAAGTAGAACTATATACTAGACAAGATAACACAAGGTGGAAAAAATACTATCAATTTAAATTATCTCAACTCATATGAATGAGATAGAATTACTAATTAAAATACAGACTCAAGGGGAAAAATCAAAATCCTGTGTTGTCTATAAGAAAATCCTAAGGAATGCACAGAGAGGTAAAACAGAAAAATAAGCCTATTATAATACAAAACTTAACCCAACAAAGTAGTATAGAATATCAACAGTGGGAAAGTGCCTGTCTAGCAAGCATGAGGTCCCGAGTTCAAATCCCAGTGCCACAAAAAGAAAAGCACTTAACTACATAGCACTAAATGGGTTACCAAGTATTTTTTTTTATTAGTGTATATTAATTGTACAAAGGGATTCCTTATGATACTTCCACACACACATATAATGTACTTTGATCAAATTCACCTTCTTTATTACTCTTCTTTATCCACCCTCCCCATTTTGAATAATTTTAATGGGTTTCATTATGATTAACAGTATTTTTTGTACATTGTTTCATTCCAAGTTATGGAGTTTATTAACATATGCATCTGGCAGACTTCCTTTAGAAGATGATAATCATAACTTTAACTAAGAACTACTCAGATCATAATTATAAACCTTGAGCATAAGATTATATGCTATTTATTATCACATGCAAAAGAATGAAGTTAGACTCAATGCATCATACAAAAATTACTTCAAAAATGGACCAAAGACCCAAATGGGAGTCCTAAAACTATAAATCTTAAGCAAATAGTGAAAAGCTGCACAACATTGAATTTGGCTATAATTTCTTGGCTGTGACACCAGAACAAAGGTGGCAAAAGAATAAAGTAGAAAGATTAGACTGTATAAAAGTTAGAAATCTTAATACTTCAAAAGTAAATAAACAGTAAGAAGTCAACTAACAGAATGGGAAAAAATATTCGCAAATCATACCTGGTATGGAATTGTTATAAATATAGGGAACTTTAAAAACTCAACAAGGGCTGGTGGAGTGGCTTAAGTAGTAGGCACCTGCCTAGCAAGGATGAGACCCTGAGTTCAAACCCTTGTGCCAAACGGAAAAAATCCTCAAGAAAAATCTGACTCAAAATGCACAAAGGATTGAATAAAGAATTCACCATATACAAATGGCCAGAGAGGCCATGAATGTCACTAATCATTAAGGAAATGCAAATAGAACCATAGGACTGGGTTGTGGTTCAAGTGGTAGAGCACATGCCTAGCAAGCGTGAAGCCCTGAGTTCAAACTCCAGAACCACCAACATACACAAAAAAACCCCCACTACAATAAGTTACTACCTCATATCTGTTATGATGGCAACTCTCAAAAAAAAATCAGAAAATAAAGAGTGCTGAGGATGTAAAATTGGAACCCTTGTGCACTATTGGTGGGGGTGTAATATGATATAGCCATTGTAGAAAACAATATTTTTCCTCAAAAAATATAAAAACTATTACCATATCAGCCAGCAATTCCATATCTTGATATATACCCCAAATAATTAAAATATTCTCAAAGAGTTATTTGGACATTTGTGTTAATATGA